TGATGATGATGATGATGATGATGATGATGATGATGATGTTGATGACCCCGCTCCCCAGATAATAAAGAGTACCCCTCTTGATCCTTGAGTGGTTACTATCCCCGGGTCAGACAGATCTCATTGTGGAGAGGGGCGGCGAGGCCGAACTTGATTATCGCGGGGGGGAAATTGCGAATCGGAATTGCGATCTTCTTATGTTGACTAGCAACATCATCAAAAGCGCTGAGCATGGCAATGGAGGTCTCACCATTTCATCTTTCGCAAGTCACGAGCCTGCATGGGCGAATGATTCGAGATGGTACGCAAGAGACGTTTCTTGGCCAGGAGCGCCAAGGACCTCTCTTGCGCAGGCCACCTCTAGATGCGAGACTCGAGGACACCCAGGACAGTTTGTTATGTCAGGATCTAGTTACACGAGCGCCCAGCATCATCATCATCATCATCATCATCAGCAGCAGCATCATCATCATTATCCACACCATCCATCATCATCATCACCATCAGCATCATCACCATCATTATCATCACCATCATCATCATCACCATCATCATCACCATCTTCATCACCATCATCTTGCGCCTGGAAACACGTTGAGTATCCCCCTCCAGACCTCGAACTTTATTACCCCCAAGGGTTTATTATCAGGGGTATGGGTTTGGTAAGGAGGAGGAGGAGGAGGCGGGGGAAGAATGGAGCAAGAGGAGGACGAAACGGAGAGAGGATATATAAAGGGGCCTAGCAGGGTGCGAATGGCGATCTGCCTCCTTTCCGTTTTGCTGCGCGGCAGCGGGGTGGCGCGGCATGGTCGCCCCGCCACGCTGTGCAGGCCAGCGTGTCCCGTAGGGCCCCAAGACAGCCACATTACCGCATGCCAAGCTTTGCAAGATGGACAGCAGGCACGTTTCTTCAGCGTCGTTGGACTTGTCTGCGTCCCCACCCAGAAAGTCCTGGCTCCGCTGTCCGACCTGCCCCTTCACGGACAACGTCGAGGGGGGATGCGCTCAGGGGGGGATGCATCGGCAGCCAAGGGGCCCGATAGCCCACCTCGCCCAGGGCCGCGCGGATTCGCTATTGGGGCCTGTCGCCGATCTATCGGCGATGTATCGCCGATTCCACGTCGACGTTTCCCCTCTGAGTCGGTCATCCCCTGCCGTTTCCCCTCTTGGGAGGGAGGAGGAGAAAAAGAAGGAGGAGGAGGGGGATTTCCAGAGTTTCCGCCATCACGTAGTGATATCGAGCATGCGACGCCCCCCTGACCTTACAAGATGCACTGGACGACAAGGCAAACGAAGCACCCGGACAAGAGGATCAACTTCACGAATGACGCATGACACCATTTTGAAAAACCGTAGCGCCAGTTGGCAGCATTGCAACTATTGCCGCCGAGCGATAGGAACGTGCCAGAACCCAACGCACAACTTTGGATACGAAACTTACGAACGGCCTTCACGCTAATGCCCAAAACCTTCTTTAGAAATGATGACACCCCTTCCCCCCGCGGATCCCGACTGCTATCAATTCGCCGCCAGATAATGTTTGAAACTTGCCCCTTCTCGAAAATATTCCATTGCGGCCGAGCGATGCGACTCATCTACACACACTGGTACATGTGTATACATCGATTTTATACAACACACGCTCGCCCGCGCGCAAATTGCTAAATGCGTCTGCTCGGTACGCGTGCAGATGTGCAGGCTACTTCGGTCGACAAGTCAATAGTTTTCGTCTTACTGGGACACTGTACGTGTGTACGCGCGCGCGTGCGCGCGGTGGCGTCCATCCCTCGCGCAGCAGCGTGCGCGCGGTTTTCCAGGTCGGATGTCGCGTTTGGTTTCCAAGTCCAATGTGCGTGGCAGACGTGGCTTGACGACACGGCGGGGTGCGCAGGAATCTGCATCTGAACGCGGAGCGCCAGGGCGGTCGCGGGGACGTCTATGCGCCCCCTGCATGCGCACTACGGCGTTTGTAGTCATGTTTGGTTAACTCTCCCTCGTATGTTTTACCTTTGTTAGAAATGCAGGTCTTCGACATTGGTTGAACGGCTAACCTGCTGTCCCCCGGTTTTTCCCGCACGGGCAGTTGAACATTTGCACGCATGGGCGAATTGAGAGAGACACCCTGAATGTTTAAGGGAATTCGAAACGCCATCGAACATGCGAATCACCAAGCCTCCAACCATAACGATGAAACACAACGTACCATGCCCGCGCAGCTGTGGAACGCAACCCTGAAATGGATGACGCCTGAACGCCAGCAAAAAAAATGTTCCAGCAGCTTCGTGCTTGATGGTTGGCCCTTCGCGTATCTCCACCAGCCCATCCATAAACGATGCCCAGGGGAGTTGAGGTGATCAGGGAAGTGGGGGAGCAGGCAGAACAACAAAAGGAGGGGAAAGCCGTCCGATACCCCAAAACGGGGAGGACGGTGGAGGAGAAGGACGAGGAGGAGAAGGAAGAGGAGGGCGAAGAGGAGGAACGAGGAAGAGAGAGTGGACAAAGAGGAGGAGGAGGAGGTGGAGGAGGAAAAGGGGCATCTTGGCTAGCCCAGGGCCGTCTTTGAGCGTCTTGGGTGCTTCGGGCATCCTGTGGAGGCCTCTGTTGTGACTTTCTGGAGGCTTCCTGGGCGCTTCTCGTGGCCGTCTGGGCGCCTCTTGGGGCCCTCTTGAGGCGTTCTTGGGGACTTCGGGCGTTCTTGGGGCCATCTCCAAGGAGATCGATCAAAAAAGAGGGGTTCCCTAATTTCCCCCCCCCCCCCTAATTTCCCCCCCCCCCCCCCCCCTCCTCTGGGAGCCCCACAAGTCGCCTCTTGGGGCGCTTTTGGAGCGCACTTGAGCGTTCTTGCGGCCGTCTTGGGGCTCTCTGGGGTCTCTCCTGGGGCCCTCTTGGGCCATCTTGGAGCCATCTTGAGGCCTCAGGTGGCTGTATCGGAAACGAATAGGCGAAAACATGACGACACTGTTGTTCCTTAGGTTTTGGAAGGATGCAGGCTTCTTGGACGCCTTTTTGGAGGTCTCGGAGGCGTCTTGGAGTTGTTTTGTAGTGTTCTTGGGCCTCTTGGAGCCTCTTAGGAGCCGACTTGAGGCATCTTAGGCAACATGAGCCATTTTGGAGGTCATCTGAGCCATGTTGGGCGAAAAAGTGTCCTCTTACTCCTGGCGGGGCGCCCCGTCCAGGTCCAGGGGAGGGGGTCGTGGGGAGGAGTAAACCCCTCCCTGAAGGGGAAGAAGAGGGTTGCAAGAGGAAGCTCCCTAGACCACCCACGCCCAGAGGGCTGCTGGGATTTATGGAGTAGCCCGATAACGCTTCCGATAACATGCCATGGATGACCAGCCCCCTTGTGGCCCAACAGCTTGAAACACAAACCAGATGCCAAACAGCGCAGGACGATTCGAACACTTCGCCTCGGGTTTTGCCAACCTTTCGCGAATGTAGGAAGAACGTTCGTATCCCGCGCCGCAAGCATGGCGCGATGAGCCGCCGACGCGCGACGTCGAGGCCGGTCACGAACGGCGAAAGTATCCACGCCTTCGCAGTCTGGTATCCGCCACCACATACGCCACCAGTTAAGCTTCCTTGGGTTCGCAGCGCTGTGCTCCCCCACGCGCGCGAGGGGAAGGGGCAGGGGGAGAATCCAAAATTGAGCATCCTTGACGTCCCCTCACGAGTGGCGAACAGATCCGTATCCACGCATTTGCGGTCCGGACTCTGGGGCGGGGCATCCGCGAAAAAACGCCCCGCATCAGCGGGGTCGCTGCCCAGGGGCCCAGCCAGCGAGGCCGCGGATACGTAGATGTCTTCGCCCAGGCTTGCCCAGTGCTTATCATGGGGAGGCAGATCTCCTCGTCTTCCTCCAGGAGTGTAGACTTCTGGAGATTTGAGGACACGGTGCCAGCGTGTGGGCCCCGAGAGGCCGATTTCCGGACATGCTCTTCGCGAGGAGGTCGTGTGGGGAGCTCAATTCTTGACGCCTCTCCGGGCACAACAAAGGAACCACAGCTAGAACTCAGTCGATTGTTTTGGAGGGGGCCTCTCGGGGGGGAATCCACCGACCTTGACATGACCATGTGGTTGCGGTTGTGACAGGTTTGGTCGTCCCGGACGCCCACATCGATCACAGCCAGTACCAAGATGGTTTCGGTGTGCACGGTTGGAGACCATTTCTTTATTGCTTGGGGCATGACGGGCGTCATGGCCCCCGCTCCCCCCCCCTATGACGTAACGCTCCCCCCCCAGTGCGCTCCGGGCACTACCGCCGTACGTATTGGGATCCGCGTAGGTGTCCGCGTAGGAATCCGCATAGGAGTCTGGTCCGCAGTCGTCGTCGTCGTCGTCGAGGCGTCGTCGTCGTCGTCGTCGTCGTCGTCGTCGTCGTCGTCGCTCGTTGCTCGTCGCTCGTCGCTCGTCGCTCGTCGCTCGTCGCTCGTCGCTCATCGTCGTCGTGCGCGCGGACGCGGCTGGAGCCTGTTTTTTATTCCAGGCCGATGACGGCAATCATCTGGGGGGGGTTGAGGGGTTCGATGACGTCACGCTTCGCGCCGGCGGCGCCTGGGAATGCTTAGGGATGATGGAGGACGGGTGGCACCAGCTTGTAGGTGGCTATCTGCACCACAACGCCT